GAATAGTTCGGTTCATTTAACAGCTCTATATGTGAATCTAGAAAATTTTCATACTCACATACCAAACATTTGGCTAACTGTGACTTTTCAAAGATTTTTTTTCGAATTGAATTTAGTCTCGAATAAATTGAAGATTTATACTACAAGGGATTATACACAAAATTTTCCTAATACACCAACTTTGTTTTTCTTTTTCTTCTTTTCAACCCCCAAATGGGCTATGCCATCCAAGACCACCTTTGTAATGTCAGAACAATTTTTTATTTGATCTAGATACATACTTTTTACATTCCACCTAACTACTTGAGAGTTTTAAAGTTTCTTAAACGTATCAAATGAACTAATTGGTCAATCAATGCTAAAAATGACATTGTGCCAAAAAAAATTTTGCCCCAAAAAATTGAATACAGTTACTACACTCAAGCGCAGCCAGCTGTGTGAGATAGCACGCCACGAAAATGTCTAGCTTTGGTTCACATGTCCAAGTAGGTCATCAAAGTTCTTCTACAAAATGAACTTTTTTCAACTTGGAGTAATACTTAATTCTTCGCAAGCTGATGTTTGCATTATGCTTCCAAAATTTTGTTTGTTATTTCATTATCAAACATATACAGTTTATTCATACAGTTTTATAGGGATTATCAACTTTTATCACATCATAGAGGTCAAGATGAAGAATTTCAACTTAGTTGAATTTAACATAAATATTAATATTTTATCAAATGAGAATTCTAATTTTAACTCCAATTCCTCACCAGTTTGAGACAAACGAAAAGAAATATCGGAGCTTAGTGACCGGAATCGGTTGCTTTGTTTTCTAATAATAGCAAGTTACTAGTTTATTAAAAAAATGTTATTACTGTATTATTTTTTTAAAAAAATTAAAATAAAAATGCACATCGCTTTCTTTCCTTCAATTTCTTCACATCGTTTTCCTTGCTCAAATAAATGATGATGAAAGCAGGCAGTCTCAACATTCATAAATTAGGTCGGAGTGATTTCAGATTGGATTATAGAATTTAAATGCCATATGTAGGAATAATTAAAATGTACCCAAATTCCAATAATTTGGTTATTCTGATTGTCAACCCACATATATTAAATCTAAATGCTTAGGAATATACTTATATTCTCTAAATAAGACGAAATAATTTTGTCTTCTTACTCTGCTGAGAATCTCTTTCTTAAAATAGTTTTTTTTTCTCCTGACTAATTCTTCAAAATAGTTTGCGCAGTACATTGTAGTACACTGTAGTACACTTGACCTGCTTGCTTTTACAAGTTCATTGCCTTTTGCTTTCTTTGCCCTTTGTGCATGTGCATTTCATTTCATTTCATCCTCGCGCAGCCCAGTGTGGTGTGTGTGTTTATATATATATGTATATATAAATATATATATAAAGCAATATTTGGAGCAATTAATTCAAGATTGATAAGGTTATAAGATGTCTACTTATATGCCTTAACAAAATGGTTGTCTAGTTATATGCATGCCATAAATCTAACCATGTCCATCTAAACTTCTCTAGGCTAACAACTAGCACCAACTTGTTTTCCATACAAAATTGTACACTAAGATGTTGTAAATCTTTACTTCAAATTCCTTTAAAAACAGATATAAGACAATTGGTTTTTTTTTTTTTCCCCTTTTTGGCTGTATCTGAATCTGTGACCGGCACTGATAATTCTGGATAGAAGACAAGTTGAAAGTAGTTGTCCAAGTTTAATTCTTTCACTACACTGAATCATTTTCATATAGAGCAACTATGTGCTTGATATAAATTTTTGGTTATTAAAACCTGAAGGTTGGACTGAATAATTGGAAATATTCAAGTTACTGTTCACATAACAACTAGGTAGTATACAAGAAAACGAATGATGTAGGTTTACTAGTTAGAAATATCATAACAAGACAATAAAAGCTCGTATTAATTTGTTTTTCTCAATGTCCCTTAATGAAAAGTAATTAATGACATAATGAAAGGCTACAAAAGAAATAAAAAAAAATTTATTCATATCAAAGTGAACGACAAATTAGAACTAGTATTTTAAGTTTAACCAAAAGAAAAAGAAGGTGTAAATTTGGACATGCTTTCCTCAACTTTTGGCTTTTTTCTCTTGCAACACCTCATGATACGTACGTACATAAAAAACCAAATAAAGTCGATAAATATATAAATTTAATCCAACTTGCTTAGAAACACTTAAAGTCTTTGTATTATTATGAAAATCTTCAAATGCTTAGCAAATCAAATGTAACTAAAATGTCAGTGTTGTTGCTATAATCACCACCATCACCATCCTCCTTTATTTTTGTTTTTTCCTCTTGTTTCTTGTCCTATTTCAATAGCTCAGCGAGTCAATTTAGTCTGCATAGAGGGGTTTTTATTCTTCTTCTTCTTCCCCTTCTCTTTCTTAGTAGCCGATGGTCAATTTCATTCTAGTGGAATTAGGGACCACTCATGAAAAAACAATCCACTAAACAAGATTATGATGAAAGAAAATTGACTACAATAGAATCAAAGGCATTTTGTATTCTTAGGAAGTAGTTAAAAATTTTGGTACTAAAACCAAGTGCCATCCAACAATTGCCGGCTATTCAAAAGACAAAATATCTGGAATGGTGTTAGTACTTTTTCATCAGTGAGAACTTTTGTTGTAATTCATAGGTAGGTAGCAAAATAATAGTCACATATCTAAGTGCCATTCAAAATTGCAGGTAACTCAAAAGACGCAATGTCTAGAATGATATTGCTTCTTTTTCATCAGGCACTGTTGGGCAGTGATTAGTATAAGTTCTCATGCAACGATGCGGTAGATAAGAGCAACCAAAAACTGGAGGATCAATCTAAACTAAATATCATCCTTACTGATATTTGGATACTGCAACAGTCTTTTTTGAAAATGTAAGTTTTGGATAAATCGTTTATGTATTGTTAGTATATATATTAACGGATTTAAATACATGTTACATATGTAGTGTTTAAATTCAAATTGAATGATGTGATACACATCTAAACTCGTAAATATATATATATATATATATATATATATATATTGATAGTATCAAAAATATTAATTCTTAACATTTTTTTTTGAAAGAAATACGTAATATCTTGTTTGGCAAGATCTACCATCAAACTTAACCAGATTGTTAGGTGGGAAGCATGATTCCCCATGTGTCTTGAAATAGAGACACATCTATATCATAGGGCAGTGGCCCCTTATTTGTAATGATTATTATAGTAATTCAGTACAAATGAATTTGACCAAAAAAATAATTCAGGTACTTGGTCATCATAAACAAATTGACAAAACTCTTCTTATGATCCCTCACATGTTTGAAAGTTAATTATATGAGAAACATATATCATATAAACTGTACTGTACTCATCCAATATTTTCAAACAAAAATCTGAAGTTTGAAAGCAAAGAAGAAAAGAACAAAAAAGAGAAGAGAAGAGAAAAGAAAATTTCCAAGCAAAAGCCCAAAAATCGGCAAGGAAAAAAAAAAAAAAAACAAACAAACAAACCCAACAACTTAGCCTCTAAACAAAGAGTCACACACCCAGAGAAACATAAATTTGGGCTGCAAACAAAACATCCCAGCGGGCCTGGAAACTTAGCTAGGCCCATTTCATTGAAAATTAAGGGAAACAGTGAGAGCGTCATATGACGACCTGTCCAAATATAGATCCACCTTAAGATTTTCACAAAATTTTGACAGTTTATTCGACAGAAAAAATTATAGTTTTGGTACCAATTGTTTTGGACATCGGTAGTTTTGATTTCTAAAATTTGGACAAAAGAAAATCTAGTGCCAAATGTTTCAATCCTAAGCACATTTAGTTCAATTGATTGATTTTGGCAAATTGTTATCTGAGCCTAGTCACGTGACTAATTTTTAGAAAAAAATTAGAAAAATATAAAAATGTTGCTGACCATAATTTGTAATTAAAGGGCGTTAATTAATCACTTGCCGATCTTGTGACTAATTAGTATTTGGCCCAAAATAAAAAAAAATAAAAAATCTAGAAAATGGAAAAAGAATTGCAGTCGGTTAATCACATCGTTGCATCAAGCACTTCACCTTCTCTGCTCCTTCTCTATAACAAAAAGTACAAAAACCCTAATGACCCTTTAGTTCAATCAGAAAGATGTGAAATTTGGCCATTATCTCGTGAGGACAACTACGAAAATCTGCTGTCATAAAAGGGGATCGAATGAACAATTCTCAAAATTTCCAATTAAACCTAAAACTCCTCCAAATACAATCTAAAATTTTCTATCCATGGCAGCAATTAACGTCTGCAATTGTGGTGGGAGGGCAAAAGTGGTTACTCCGTGGACATGACAAGTCTGGCAGAAGATGTTCTATCCATGAGAGGTTTTTCATTAGTTTCGTGACCGAATTCCGATAACAATTTGCCAAGACCAGTAAGTTGAACTAATCTGCCTAAAAATTGGAACATTTAGGACTAAATTTGCTTTTGTCCAAATTTAAAGACTAAAATTGTAAATGCCCCAAATATTTGGTATCAAAGCTATAATTTTCTCTATTCGAAATTAGACAAACGTTTGATGATTTAATTTGTCTTCCAAAATTAAGAAATAGACTTGAGTTAAATTTCAAACGGCCCAGCAAGCAGTCTTTTGTACTGAAGTGAATTTCTTGGAAACAAGCCTTAGAATTGGAGAAAACATCGACTTCTCGAGGGACTTATGTTGACGTGCCTCAGTTTCTATAACTTACATTAAGTATTCTTGAGGTGTTTGCATGAATTTTGTTACGGGCAAAATAATAACGGATCCCTATGAATGAGGTGTTTTTTTGCAAAATTTTATTATATCTTTGTATATTAAAAAATTTCACAGTAAATATATTTAAAACTTTGTTAGGGTATTTTTAAAATTTAAGATCGTGACAAAAGCATTAACTAACATAACCTAATTTTTTATTTTTTTTTGTCAAACTAACATAACCTAATGGAACATGTCAATAAAGAGAAAAATGCTGCTAAATGCGAGACATGAGTACATGTAAAGTCGTTGCAAAAGCCAAGTAGCAAAATTTCTGTTACAAAAACTTTTCGCAGTCAGGACCGCCATAAAATATTTAGCCGGTCCTCTCATGCATTCTAGACATTTTTCACAACAAATTTCTTCCTGTAATTTAAGTATCAGATTGGGCAAAGCTATTTTCACGAGGAAAAACTTCATTCTGCTCTAAGAAACCTTGAATGGCTTTTGCAGCTTCTATGGCAGAATCTCTTTGTTTAGTTATTCTTTCAAGCTTCTCAACCTTCTCGGATAACAAGCCAATATGAGAACTGGCAAATTCCACCACCTTGTTCCCAGTTTCTAAAGCCGTGCAAAGCTGCAATTCAGAAAGGCCAATGGATCCGCAATTAACAATTCTATCAGAAGGATTGATGCAAGTTGCAAATTCACATGAAATTCTTTTCAATCCAGATGAAGTTAAATTTTTAACAGGTCAACTGATGAGTAAACTGAGTCGCTCTGTCTTATTCAATATGTCCAGTCAAAGCAAACAGGGAAAAGAAGAAAATATACATCTTACAGCAAAAACCAGAATTACCTTAAGCGTAAGAGCTGTCCATGACTGATCTGTGCCAGCTAATGCCTTATCCAGTTGGTCATAGTTCTCCTAGACAAGAAACAGCAAATTAGATCATCTAAGAAGTCATAACTTGTAAAAGCCAATTAACCAGCATTGAAAGGAAAAGATCAAAGTAAACTATTTGTGATAGATGCTTGTTTGATGAAATAGTTCAAGTACTAGTACAGGATGAGATGATGCATCCAACTCCTAAAACCATCAGAACATATGAATACCAGCAAATTGCAACTAATGAATATAAGCACACTGCACCATTCAATTTTATAGCTTCTTGTTTGTCTCTTTGATCAGGATGGATCTAGCATTGTAAGAACATTGATTGGGTAAGAACAAGTTAATCAACCAATATACTTATAAGTCCTTGGTTCAAATCCCTCTTCTCCCTCCCTAGTTCTTTAATCCAGCCCCTCCCCTACTAGAAAAAATATTTTAAAAAAAAAATCAATATACTTTGTTTTTTAGGGATTTTGGTCTTGTCAAGTCGATTTCACAAAAATAAACATTAACAAACAAAACTCATAGAGAAAATAAACCGATTTTATATTTTTTTCATAATAAACTCAATGAGAAAAAATTAGTTTCCTTGTCTGTTATAATGCTTGTCAGGTTTTCATTTCAGTTGCACCACTTGTGAACCATGCTCTCATCCTCCTTTTTTTTTTGGATGGGGAGTTGTGGGGGTGGGGGAATAAGTTTCCCTTCTCCTATTTATATAAAATGTTAGTTGTAGGGTATTGGAACCTCCATTGAAGGGTTTCTAAGTCAAATATCATTTTGTTCACAAAATTTCTTAGAGTTTTGAGAACAAATTTTAAACTTAAAAAAGGCATCCATCATCATTAAGTATATCAATGTCCATTACTTTTCGAGGGTACTTAGATTTTGAATAAATTAGTCATCATCTCAAGATGCCACATTCTTGCATAAATTATTCAACATTCTTTTTCCACCGTTACCATTGGCAAGCTTTCTTATATTCTTCTTCATGTTACCTTACCAAATAATCAATGATCTCTTTAGGTCATACTTATTCCACAAATCTGACCACAACTGACATATTCACTATCCAAATGATTGCTCTGCACCATCCCTCTCTCTCCTTGAAACAAAAAAAAAATGATGAAAAAGAAGAAGAATTGCAGATCTTGCTATATTTTTGTGTCTTGCGTGAAGTGTTTTACACGAATTGCATAATGCTACCAATTCCATTACAAAATTAAATTCCTTTGGGAGGTGTACGAGATTCCAGTTCCTTTGAACATCAAAAATTAGATGACCTGAAGCTTAAAAAACCAGAATATAAGACCAAGACAAGTTCTCAGAAATCTTTACAAAAAAAGTTAGCAAGAGAAGCATCACCGCATGAATTAGGTTATTGACAAAGACACATAACAAAAGAATATTGGTTTTCAAAAGACCAATCATATATGAATACTGGCAATTGCATGTCAATTGTGTAACCAACAAAGAAAGCTCATTTATCATCCATCATCAACTATCAGAAATTCTGTAAAGTAGTTTTGAGAGAGAAAAAGCCAAACCAGCAGCAATTCAGTACATAGTTGCAAATAGGTAGTTCAACTTCCAGATAGGTTGACGCATATGTACTGAGCAAACAAAAAACAAAAACAAAAACAAAAGGAGTAGGAAAAGCCAGCAAGAGTTGTGCTGGCAAGTGGAATTACAAAGAGAGGATTACAAGATTTAGCGTATTCACTCTCCAATTATAATTCTAACCAGGGGAAAAAGCTAAGAGGCCACAAAACTATTCCTCAAACAATTTTTTCACTCCACTATTTTGGTGTCAAATGTACAATATAAGTCATTCATTGCTTTCAATTGCTATTTAGTTGTAAAGGCACAACAGCTAGCAAAACCATATTTCAGGGGCATTTGGTCCATATATAGAAACTTCACAATAAAACAGAAAAAATTTTGAACCCCAGCCATCACCCCTCTTCCCTGACATTTTTTCCGACTCCTGAGCATATAGCTACCAGGCAAATGGAAATGTTGACATGTGAACATCTGAGAATTGCCAATAGGGGTACATACTGGATGTAAAAAGTAACAGATAACTGGATACACCTAAAAACCCCACTAAGATAACATATCCAGAGAGTGTAGACTTAAATTAAGTTCTGAAGCTTTCTTTGCTGATGTAGGCAAAATATAGAACCTCTTCCCAAGGAAATTCATGCCAAAACCTCAGCATCTTCTTAGTCTTTCTTCTTCTTGATAATCTTCAAAATCCGAATCATATAATTAATTAGTGAACCATTTACAAAGAAGGCACCATTAACAGGCCAAAGTCTACGAATCCTCATCTAATTGAAATTTAATGCATCAGATCCATAAATCCTTCTCTTTAAAACCCTATACAAAGTTAATCATATTCATAATTGAAAAGGCAACAAAAGCAACAAGGATTTCGAAAACCCAAATCTTTTAAATTTTTAGTTCCTTGCTGCGAGTAAGACTCAATCTTCAAAAACTTTTCCCATTCCATGAACACGATTTGAAATTCAAATCATTCACATATTAATTATACATTTTCAATAAAGAATGCAATCACACTAACCTAATTTCAGAATTCCAACAAATTCTAATTCTAAATAATTTCCTATCAAATACTATATTTTACCCAAGAAAATAAAATTTCTCATCCTACCCTGAAAAGTAGATATAAAGTATTTAAACTAAATAAGACTCATGCAAGTAAATTTAACATATAAATTCGCAAAAAAATAGAATAAATTTAAAAAAAAAAAAGAAAAATTCGTCTTTAATTAGAGACAGAGAGGGGAGAACCTGAAAGAGCTTGGGGAGATCGGAGGGGACGAGACTAGGATCGGAATCGAGTGGTTGTAGGTTTTGTGGGTGGTGGGACCCACCACCGCTAACAGCTTGCTGATCTCCTTCTCCGACGTCGGAGAGTAGGTCGCCGATGCAGAGCAAGGGTCCTCCGACGGCTCTCATCGTCGGGAATGTCATTACGAGTATTGACGACTTAGTGGGCGATAGTTAGATTGAAAAGCTTTAAACCCCTAAGGCCTAGAGTGATTTTCAATTTAGTCCCTAAAGTTAAGTTTGTGCTACTAGAGTCCCTCAATTAGTGAAATGCTAACTATATAAATAATAAAGACTAAAGAGCGGATTGGGTATTATAAAATGTCATGTTTTGAAGTAGTTATACAATAGAAGTTAGGGATTTTTATGGCTAAATGCTTCTACGGTGCATTGATGTTGTTTTTTTCTCACTATTCGTGTTGCAAGCAAAGTGTTATTTGTCTATGTCACTATTAATGAATGATTGAAATGTTTTTTTGGCAATTGAGTGATCTTTGTATGTTCATTGGGTGCTTGTTCCACGGGTTGTGTATGTCGTGCGAGATTTGGTGAATTGTCTTGATTGCCTTTAATAAAGGTCTTAAGTGGTATAATTGTGATTTTGTATCGATAATTTGTCTAGGTTATCTTTTAGACCATATTAATTGATTTGCTATGCATGCATGTTTGGATAATTTTCTTATTTGTAGAATTTTTGGACTTTATTGTCCTTGTGTGATTTGGTATTTGTCTTGTTGTCATGTTGACTTTTTGTTTGTAGTTTTGCTGTTATTTTAAATATTGTTATAGTTGTAGTATGCACTTGTGTACTTGCTTAGTCATTATATCAAGTCACCTTAGTAAATAATAAAAATATAGTAGACATATATGTAATTTCACTACAAAAAACATAAAATATTAAAAATGTATGAGTTAGATCTGGCTCGATGAACCAACGAGCCTAGTATCTTATATTCAGCTCAACTCAACTGGCTCGCTAAGCCAGCTCTGGGCGGACGAGCCGAGTCGACAATGCATGCTCACTTGCCAAAATACAAGAACGACCAGAGTTTGTTCCCCGATCTCACTCCGATGCTAAAATTAGTTATAGGTTAGTTGGGTGGTTCGTAATATGTACCTGACTTGCAAATGGTGAGAAATATTTATAAAAGAGAATTCAACGGACAGGGTTTGACACCTACACCTAGCTAATGGTTAGATGACAGGCTATGGCGGTGGGCTCAGACATAGCTCTGACCACTAGGATGGTGGGTGGTCACATCAACCTGTCAATCACTATCACCTCACTTGCCAAGATGTTATGTGTTGGAGTCTACAACCGCGTTTGGGGTAAGAATGAAGTTAGGTCAATTAGCCGAGATAATCCTTCATCTTAGGGTGCCAAAGACGAGGTTCTTGAAGAAACTGAAGAGCCCAGATAATCACATCGATATCGAATAGACGAGGTGATAACTACATTAAACCCCCCAGCCTCGGGGAGGGGAGGCTTAAATGACTCCCTTCCTAAGGCTAAGTTATAAGCTGAATGAGGGATATGTGTTGCGATGCTGAGCAACGAGAGGCCAAACATCAGTCGGAGGTAACTGATGGGAAATGTTCTGAAGGGGTGTTAGATGAATCGGTGCTGATTAGTGAAGAGAGAGGAAGGCGAGTATTTGAAAATTCGAAACGTCAGCCTTTTTACCTTCCATCCCCTTTATAAATAGAGAGGTTTTTACAATTCATTTTCACATTTATTGAAAATCATAGTACCAAATCCGAGCTGCCCATCTGAATTGTCAAAGCAGTTTTCTTCCGATCCCTTAGTTCAGAGATAAGAAGATAGTAAGTTACCTTTCCTCTTTTAAATAAAATACATCGCTAGTATAGTTTGAATGCATAAGGCAACAATTAGTCCGGATTTTGAAGAAGTAGAAAGACCCAACCTATCAGATGAAGTGACGTCATCATTACAGGAAGCGTCCAGTTCCAAAAGAGAGGCCTTGGGAGATTTGGTTAGTGAGGAAGCAGTCGGCGAGAAGGCAATCGGATCCTAGGGACTCAAGCCTATGAAATCCGAGGTCTTATATAACGACGCCTTTGGTTCAGAAGTTTTCGGAGATGAAAGGGTAATAGTCCTTGGAGCTCCACCCAATCTCGACCAAATAGAATTCAGTAAGATTCCTCTCTTTAGTAGGCTAAGAAAGATTGATCAGCAGCTATTCTGCCGAGGTTTTGGGTGGCAGTATATGCCAACCATATGAAGGTAGGTCTAAGAATGCTGACAACGAGGTTTTTTCGAGACAACCTCCAATACTGGGGAGTTCGGATAACGTAGTTCGTTCCTAATGCCATCCAAATTTTCGTTGAATTCGAGATGTTGTGGCGGGATCAGGGCGTAACCCTTAATGTTAATCTCTTCCGACAATTTTACGTTATCAAGAATTGCGAAAACGAAAGGAGGTAGTCTACTTTGGGAGTCGGAACAAGAACGTGTCAAAGTTAGTGGTGGACGTCTCGACTTCAAAAAAGCGCTGAAAGAACAACTTGTTTTCATCTCAACTGAGGACTTTCTTCCGGGCTTTTGGTGGAGGTGGCACAATGCGCTAACCATCCGTTCCTAGGATTCATCTAGAATCAAAACTTCTAGAAGATCAAGGGATCAGGGCTCAGGATCAATAGTTGGTTCTACTCGAAAATGGTCTTAGTAGATGGGGGAATCAGCCGAGTTCTCCTTAGTGCCAACAAATTCCCTTACTATTCTTCTAGACTAAAAAAAAAAATTATAATTTTCATTTCATTATTTTGTATCTTTTTTGCTTGACTAAGTAATAATACATCTCTTCCGTATAGTGATGAAGATGTTCAACCATATTATCTCAGGGATCAGGATGGTAGCTAAGAGGCAGAAGTGTAAGGCTCCAACCAAGACATCAAGAGTGAGGAAGAAGAAGAAAAACAGCTCGACCACCCTCCGTTCTCCAGTAGGCGACTTGCCTCATGGTTACACTCCTCTCCAACCTCCTATGATCATAGCTAAGGAAGAATGCTTAGATATCTCCGTGATTTTGCAAGGTGTGGCTACCCGAGGCTTCACCGTGGCCTAGACAGGATACGGAAGAAACAAGTCTTTACACCCTCATTCTCCAATCATAGTGGGGGCGCCTATATAGAACAAATATCCAATAGCACTGTGTCCTACCGACGATGAGACGAGACTAGACACCCCGGTGACCACTACTGTTCAGATTGAGACATTAACATGGACAATCAGTATCAAGATCCATGACTGTCTTAGGAGTTGTTGGTCCATTCAACCCTATCTCGGGATGTGGAGTACACCAAGTAGCTAATGCCTTTCGAGCTGGTAGACCATTTGGCCATCGTTTGGGCTTCCACGTCAACTTTTAATACCGAAATAATTAGGCATTATGGCTATATACTTGAGAGCATCAATCCATGGTTGAGTTCTAGGAGAAAGTAGCCTTCTTAGAGAAAAAACTGACAGTGGCCAACAATGAGAGGGATCATACTTGAGAAAAATGAGACCAGGCCATTGCTAAAATGAACTCCTGTAAGACGGCCCTTGGGAGAAATAAGAGAGAAAGCACTAAGAGAAACTGTCCCATAAGACTGCTATTGAAAAGCGGGGATCTTAACTGCGGAGGCCTTTCTTAAATTTGAGAGCTTCAATAATGATCTCGACGAATGGACCCTGTTGAGTTTCATGTTCGATTATACCTCGACTGTAAACGAAGTTGGCTTCTTGTTATCTCAAGATGATCTGGATATATTCAAAACCAGGGACAATTACAACGAAAATGCCAAGGAACTATGTAACCGCATAACTGCCGGTATCCAAAAAAGGACATAACTTGACTGAGATATGGAAAGAATTCAATTAGTGACTAGTCAAATTCGAGATTGAAGAGTCCGGACTTGAGGAAGATGAAGAAGGTCAAGATATCGAAACCACAGAGGACGTCGAGATGGTTAGGGGCAATGATAGGGTCGAGACAAAAGACACTTAAAAGTGTCCCTGAGTTCGAACTTTTATACTTGTATAACCTGTTATTCCGTTGTACTATCTATAACATTATTTCTTTATTATTGAATCGACTCTTTCATTTTTTAATCCTATTTATTTTCTCTAATCCAGTCCCCCTGTTCCTTTTTACTTTTACTAAGAATAGTAAGCATTATTTTGAAAATAAATTAATTATCATAACATTACGGATGATACAATTTAAGATTTTTTGCATGTCAAGTTCGAGGTACGAGAGAGCCATCTTGGTAGGCTAATGTACAGTAACCAATAGTAAGTATTTTTCTTGGAATTTGGAATGATTAACCGAGTTCTTTCTTAAAATTAAATCACCTGATTTAAAGCGGAGATTCTTAACTCCAGTATTGTAATAGTGAGTTAGGATATATTTTATACAAAGTGACCCTCATTGTCTCAACTTCCCTTTCTTTTTCCAGCAAATTTAAGTCAATTTACTTTTTTTTGTCATTTGTCTCCGCTACATAAGCGGCCATCCGAGGACTTAGAGTGAGGAACTCAGGCGGGATAACAGTTTTGGATCCATAAGCTAGCGAGAAAGGTATTTCATGGACTGTCGACCTTAAAATAGCTCGGTAGGCCCATAAAACAGTGGCAATTTGTCCGTTCAAATTGTTTCAATTCGATGAAGTTGTGTCTTGAAACTATATAGGAGAGTTCTGTGAAATTTTTGACTTGCCCGTTAGTTTAGTGATGGCCTACGGAGATGAAATGTTATTTGATATCAAGATTTTCGCACCACCTTTTGAATGAGTTGTCAGTAAATTGCCTCCCTTTATCCAAGATAACAACCTGCAGCACTCCAAACTAGCATATTATGTTCTTTCAAAAGAACTTTTGGACAGCTCGACCCGTCATACTGCTCATTGTCTCGACCTCTATCCATTTAGTGAAATAGTCAATTGCAACCAACAAATAGGTATAGTTATTCGACGATCGAGAAAAGGGGACTATTTATTCCCGACTGCTTAAAAGGTCAAGAAGACGTGATGGAAACTATGGGATTGGTAGACTGGTGGTGTTCGGGATTGTGAAATTGATAAGAATGACAGTTTGACATAAGTATTTGAAAATTTTATTAAATAGTTGCTAAAAATACCCAAGTAATAGGGTCTTTTTAACTAACATCCGAGTTCCAATGTAGACCCCATAGAATCTTTCATGGATGTCTTTGAGTACCTGCACCCCTTACTCAATAAGAATACACCTT